TAATATTATTTTTAATTTAACTAATTATAATCATCAAATTACAGTCAATAAAGGCAGCAACTGATATAGTTTATTTATTTTTAGATCATATCTAATCAAATATTTACATTGACATACGGACGTCTGTCGATTACTGCTAATAACATAAGAAATAAGAATAACGTCATTGTAACTAGTTACTTTTGAGTAAAAACTGTAACGTTACACATTACTTTTGTACTTGAGTAACTAACAAGTAATCTAGTTACCTATTTTATTTTGTAACTAGTAACATAACTTAGTTATTTTTAAAAAGTAACTTACCCAACACTGATTATCCACGAACCGCTATAACTGCTTATACAGGTATAACGTGGTGCCTACGTAAAGTTAACATGGACTTAATGAGGGGACATGGCTTATTCACATCATTCGCGAATCGTTTGATTTATAAACATGTATATATTGCCAGAAAGTGTTAGATCTAGATAGAAATAAATGTAGTATATATAGGACATAGGTACATCTTAAAATGAAAAACGCGAATGAAAAAAATAAATAAAGAAAGTGATTCACATATACATACATAATTGAACTGTGATTGTTGCACCCGCAGGAAAATATTCAATAACTGTAGAGTGTAAGGGTAAAGGGGTTAGTTACTATGGTTCTTCAAGTTCTTGTACTTTAAAATTAGGTTTTCATTTCTATAAATCATTACAATATGCATTTCTATTGTATACGTATATATGTGTATAAGTATATAATGGAATATGTGTTTGAGAAATTAAAGGTAATACGTATAATATAGTAACTAAATAAATTTATCACCAGTGGGATTTGGAGCAAATAGAAGAAAGGCTTGGGGGCCTTCGCTTAGCTCCCAAAATCTTAACAAGACCCCACAAACAATACGCACGACCTAGTACTGTATATTTATTATTTATACATACCTATAATACAGATTACAGGGTAGTTATACCTTACTTATTAAAAAAAAACATCATGTTACTGACCCCACCCCCCCCCCCTGACAATTTTGAATATTTGCACCATTGAGTATAACACTAGTATAACACTATAACGTTAGTACGAACATGTTAAAGTAAGCTTTTATTTTATAAGATTTTCAGTTTAAAATTTAAATTCAAAACTATGAGAAAAAAAAATGTTTACCTTAAATTTTCTTCACGATCTACCTTTAAAACATTCATCGCGGTGGATGTAATTTTTTTTTATAATTATGGTTATCATTTCATCGAAAATATATTTACTGAACTTAATCAATCTTCACGAATCATAAAATATTATTGTAAGCCCATATCAAACCGACGGGGATTAAATTCTACCTACCAAAATCAGTGGCGTGCCCAGCGGGTAGGCCTGGTAGGCCCGGGCCCGCCCTGTGTTTTTTTCGAATTACGAAATGATACGAAATGAAATAATTTTGGAACAAATATTATTTATTTATTAGACACTTATAATGAAGAGTTAATACGTGTTTAATGTTTATAATAATTCATTCCTTCGAGGTAAATAATTGTGGCCACAGTTCCTTCTGCTTGTCGGGCGACGACTAAAAATAGTAAATAATAGACAATATTCCCGAAATGGTTGTCATTTATACGCTCGTCACTCACTGGCTGTTCACTGCCGGCAGTCGTCATGAATTTGACGATGTTGATAATATGAGATATTAAATATGGATTATAAATGTTATTTTTTGGTATTAATTTATTACGATGTGTCGGTTTGTTAAGTACAGTACAGTAACTGTGTAGACGAGTGGGGGTTGTCTGGCCGAAAATCTAGTGACCGAAAGTCTAGTGATCGAAAAAAAGTGATCGAAAAGGTATCTGGTCGAACACTTTTTCGATCGAAAAATATAATATTGAAAATGCAAATGATCGAAATGTTATGTACCCAATCGAAATATGTCATGGTCGAAAAATATATATTTTGTGTTAATTATTTAAAAAAAAAAAACATAAATTATAATATAAAATTAATTTAAGTAGGTATTATAACGTAGAAAAAAGTTGTTATAAAATATTAAAATAATTGGTAGTTCTAGATACTAGTATAACTTATAAGTATTAGTAAATAATATAATATAATGACTAATGAGTAATTAAAACTTTAAATTTTGAGCTATTCCTCTTAAATACTCTAATAAATTATAACAAGGATCAGCATAATAAATCTTTGATTTTTTTATATATGAAATTATTTATATTTAATAATATTTCTCCATGGATGCTAGGTATAATATCAATATTCATATTTATATATAATAAAAAAAAATTAACTGTTGTTGCAAAAATATGTATAAAATACCAAAGTATATTGAAAAGATGATAAACACTATTGGTAGGTACACAGTACACGTTGAACAGAACAGTCGTTACACACGAAGTACCTACTATCCCACCAAAAACATATATGTAAAATGAGAGCCAAGTTCAATACTATAATATATGCTTTGGTTGTTGACTTCAACGACAAAAGAAGTGAGATCTAAATGGGTGCCAAGTTAGGATAATATATTGAAGCCTAAGGTGTGACTTGGCTACTTTTCATATACGAATTATTATTATAAGTACCTACTAAAACAGTAATGGAAGAGTGAAGATGATTTTCCGAAGAATAAAATAAGAACTCAAAGCTTTAGAACTTGCAAATTCTATAATATATAATTCGTAGCCAAGTCAGACCTTAGGCTTCAATATATTATCCTAACTTGGCACCCATTTAGATCTCACTTCTTTTGTCGTTGAAGTCAACAACCAAAGCATATATTATAGTATTGAACTTGGCTCTCATTTTACATATATGTTTTTGGTGGGATATCATTACTTTTTGTATGTAAATTATTATAACCTAACCTAACCTAGCCATGACGTATTCTATAAATAAAGTTTATTACTATATAATATAATTTAGTTACTAATATTAATAATAATATTTATTATAAAATATTTTCCGTTTTATATACAGAGTATAAAATATATGTAAAATTAATATACAATTATTTTAACTCTTTTTGAGTATATTTTTAATTATCATAATTTTATTGACTGTAGTTTCTACTGTTGGGTGGATAATTCATAATTTTTAAGAATAATTATTTAATTATTTTAATTGTAATAATTAAAAAAAATAATATTAATTACATACATACGTAGATAGAAAAAAAAGTATGTTGCTGCGCACGGGTCGACAATATCGACACATATTCGGCTAGTCGTATTTTTGGAGCGGCGATACGGGAAAGGTTATTTAAGTCAACATTACATTAAATTAGAGGCAATTCATGAATAAATTGAAAAATTAAACATAATAGATAAAATAATTGCAAAATTATAATAAAATCAATTGATTAAAAAATTAAAAATTAAAAAACTAAAAATTAAAAATTAAAAAATTTTAAATTAAAAATTTTCAAGTTTCTGATTTTTTCCTTTGTATTTACCTAACTACCTATCTGTATGCCAAATTTGAACTTTCTAGGTCATCTGGAACTGGGTTATAATTTTGATCTATAGGTAAGTCAGTGATAAAAATGACGATTTTCGGACGTTAATATCTAAATAACGGTTTGAAGTGTGTTTATGAAATTTAGAGCACATATGTATCTCGTTAGTCTCAATATATGAGCCAAATTTGACATGTTTATGTGGAATAGTTTTTAAGTTATGAGGGGGTCAAAAGTGGCTCCAAATGGTTCGTGTAATATTACACACGGTGCTGCTCGCCAGTTCTGTTAGCTAGAACTTGGCTTGACACGCTACCGCGTGTCTAGATACGATATACCTTCTACCTTCATATGGGCTAGGTACATCTATAAAAATACTAGATAAAGTAATCGAAAAGATAATCATTATCTTTACTTCGACCAAAAAACCCATTCGACCACAAAATATTTCGACTATATTAATAAAATATTCGATAATCTGTTTTTCGACCAAAAAAAGATTCGATCACATGACATTTCGATCGCTTTTTTTCGATCACTAAACCTTCGACCAAATGACTAGCACCGGTGTAGACTTAGTGACTAGTGAGGGGCCGAGCCGATCGAGTTAATCGTTTTGTCTATTTACTCTATTAAAATAACCTAAATACATTTTTATTTTATTTTGCTTAAAATTTGACTGCTAATTAATTAAATTAAAATAAAATGAACAGCCAGTTTATAAACCCATTCCGAAATCCACAAGGACATTGAACGATGATGGTAGTACAATAGATAAACCTCGATCAAAAATTTAAAAATTAAATGTTACCTCGACTCCTAACGAATTCTTCTCGTAGCTTAAAAGTGCTTGATACCTATTAGCTTAAATAGTGGTATATAACCTATTCAGCCAATTATTAATACATTTTCCACTGTACTTATAGTCAAAAAAACTATTGTTTCATTTGTATTCACTTTTATTATCTTTAAATATTATTAACAAGTCAAACAGGTGGAATAAATTTTATTATATTGTTAGGTACCTATATAATATGATCATTGTTTTCTAATTAAATTTAAAAATGTTATAAAAAGTTTCTAAAAAATAATGCGTACCTATATAAATTTAAATAATAACCGGGCCTGTCCTACATTTTTATCCTGGGCACGCCTCTGTCCAAAATAAGACCGGGGGCTCCATCCGCATAATGTCGATGTCGGCACATATTATTATAATTTCTCGACGACCAATATTGTCTAGCACAGTGACGGCGACCGCGCCGTATACTGCACAGTCGACGCGACAGACCAATCGGCGAGTGCGAAGATTACGACGACACGAAAGATGTTCGGGTAAGGCGGGGCGCGAGCTTTCGCATAACAAGACGTGCGTCCACGACGGCGGCACCTGTAGAGTCTCGAAATAATAACAATAACGATACATAATATTGTTGTTGTACGGACGTGTCGCGTTTCCGGCATTAAAGTCCGTCCGCCCGCCCGATTTCGTGTGCCGTATAATACATATCCTATATAGAGACCGGAAGTGCGCGAAGCCACCGCCATGGAACAGTTGAACTGGATGGCGGAATACGCTGCTTTCATCATCATGCTCGGGCTGTCCGTCGTCATCGGCCTGTACTACGGGTGCGTCTCCAAACAGAACACCGTCTCCGATTACCTGTTGGGCGGCAAGCACATGTCCGTCTTTCCGATCACCATGTCGCTGGTCGCTAGGTATATGATATATTATTATTATTATTGTTATGACCGCAAACCTCGCAAACCACGTCCTATATACCAGCTAGCCAGTGGCGCACACTCAAAAATAAACAGGGGTAGCATATTGAATCGGTTTCCTCTATATTGGCTAATAGGTTAATGGCTATAGCCTATAATTATTCAAAAGTTTGTTTTCAATATTTTTATACCTAGGTAGTAGAATTTTTATGATGTAAATATTTTGGAGTCATGAGGTCCACCCATGCACCCACCCACCTACCCAAAAAATCAGGGGTAGCAGCTGCTACGCTTGAAATATCCAGTGTGTGCCACTGCAGCTAGCTATATTATATTATTATGTACTAAAATGTTATATGCGTGAATGGCCGACTACATGACCGACATTTTTGTGAGAAAAAAAGATTTAAAAAAAAAATGTATTTTGGTTTGTTTGGATTAGCGACCGTTGGTGGTGATGGCGATGGGGTGGGTGTCACTAAACATTTTTTACTGGAGTAAAAATAGTACTTTGTCTTAAAAGGATGTCAGCGCAACATAGATAAAACGCTTTAATCTAAAATCGTTTTTTTTTTTTTATGATTTTTGAGAAATATTACTAATATTAGAGTAAAATCACCTATTACAAAAATTATAGAGGATAATATTTTTGAGGGTATGACATATTATAGGTTCTATATTTTATTATCATTTGACTCGTATTCGACTTTCAAAATAAAAAAAATTGCGAATAAGTGGGTAATGCTCTGCTCACTGCTGTACAGTAGGTTACAAGTAGGTCACTGTAATGGATAATGGTGTTAAATTTGAATTCAATGATATAATATAATATATATTCATTGTATACAAAAAACTATTCAGAGCGGAGACTGTTTGTCAGCCTATATTTTATATTATTTTTAGGTATGTTGTTATTTGTATTATTTGCATATTATAATAATATACTTTTGAAGTTTTAAGTACTTACGAATAATATTTTTAAATTATAAGGAAATAACTAAAACCGTTATTCCTGGTTATTCAATACGTAATTTTGTAAAAATATGAACTAAAAAAACTAAAAAAAACCGTGTTTACATATTTTTTATATTATTTTGGTGACAGAATTAACCATACTTACATGGAAGCTTGTTTTAAACTTTTAATACTTAGCTATAATAGATGAATATTTTATACATTTTTAACTACAAAATAATTTGTAAATTTTCAATTTGATAAAATATTTTGTCAACATTTGAACTTTAAATACTTTAAAAAAAAAAAACCGAGCCTGTGTATTTTTAATATTTTTTAACTGCTTTTATAAAAATATGTCAGGAACCTTGTATTTCATTTTCAAATTTTTTGACAGAGCAAAATTTTTTTATCGACATTAATTTAAAAAAAAACTAATAATAATCAAAAATGTAATTTGCTTACAAATAGCTCAATATGAGTCAAAATATTTTGAAAATTTGATGGTGTATAGAAAATGCTAATATAATTCAGTGAAAATTTCATGTACCTATATACGATAATATTTTATAGAGTTACTATAAAAACGAACATTTATTTTGTCGAAAACCGATTTTGGGGAATATTTCCCGTTTTTCCTTATTTTAGATTCTGAGCGGAGCGAGGAAGCTAGTGGTCTTGCAATGATGTTTATTTTATTTTTTATTTTTTTCATTATGTAAACAACATTTCTTAAAGAAGGAGTGCTTTGATTTCAACAAATAGTATCCAATCTTTTAGCAAATTGGATTAAGACCAACTTTAGATAAGTCATTTTCAATAGTTTTTTGACGCCACGGAAAAACCACCAAAATACCCTTGGCTAAGCTTTTTTTTCTAAGACTTGTTTTAACACCATAGAAACTAATACAATTTTAAAAATAACACCTAAAAAAATTAAAATTTATGAATTTATTTTTATTTAATTTACTAACCATTTTATTTTTCCGGGGTTTTTTACCTCCCAAATGCACCAACTAGATTCACTTTCCCAAAAGATACTGAAGTTGAAACTTGAATCATTATTTTGACTATTTATCACAGACACAAAAAAAACACACGTCATCGTTGTAAAACCAATTCATTCATCGTTCCACGGCTAAATGATGTTTAAATTGTTTTGAGACAATATTTAGACATATCAAATGTCATACCCTCAAAAATATCATTCTCTATCATTTTTCGTAATGGATGATTTTACTCTCAAAAATATAAATAAAAATGATTATGCCTTTTGTCTATATATTGTACCATGGGCCATAGAAAGAAAACAAACAGTGCGCCGACGCATCCTCTTAATCCTATAGCTTCTCTGCATGTTATTATTACATAATTTTTTACTATTATTATTAAAAATATATTATAAATTGATATATTATTATATTAATGCAATATCTCAAGTAAATTTGATACATTTTTACCCCAATAATATTGTAATGTATTTTTGTAGTGATTTGATCGCAAACTCATTTTTCGATTTTCAGTCCTACAACCTATACTGACAAATAATCAGTGGCGTGGAGAGCATATTTCAAACCCTAAGCAAAGTATTTAAACAATGATCCACCCACTGGCCACTACCTCTACTAAATATAATATATTAATACATGATTTAAAGCTGTATTTAAATTTAGATTTTTTTTTATAGGTCAATAATTTATTATGAAAAAAAAAACTAGAGTGATTAATTATACATTCATCCACACAAATTATTTAATTAAAAAAACCATAAAATAAACTTCTAGTGCTAAGCAATTGCATTAGGTACCAACACGTCGTTCACCATGTCACTGCAAACAACTAATAAGTACAAATAACTACAAAAAAAAAAAAATAGAACTTCTATATAAAAAATGATTTAACATTTTGTAGGTATATACTATATATTATAAATAGAGTTTGGTGAATACTTTAATTTCGTATGATTAAAAAAAAAATATATATAAGAGCATCAATACTTGTATATTTTAGTCACATTTCTGGCATTACGCTGCTCGGAGTCCCATCTGAGATATATAGCAATGGAACACAATACTTGATTGTCGGTGTGGTTAACAACATAGTTGTCATCTTCACGGTCATATACATTTATTTACCCGTTTTTTACGATCTTCAGTTGACATCAGTATATGAGGTAAATGCTTTTTGTTACGAACAATTGTAGTTATTATGTACAATATTATACAAACTTACAAACATATTAACATATATAGGTACATCTATTAAGTTTATAGATTTGTTTTAATTTAATTTAAATTTTAGTATTTGGGATTACGATTTGATTCCAATATCCGTGGATTGTCATCACTCATCTTCGCCGTAAACCTAATACTGTACATTCCTGTTGTGATTTACATACCAGCATTGGCGTTCAATCAAGGTAAGTAAATTATATTTTAAAACATTTTCAGACCAAATAAATTACATGCACCTACTATGAAATATATGATAAAAGATTAACATTCCACTCATATTATGTCTTATATAACAACTAAACCACTCGTCGGTATTTGTATCAATCAATTCGTATCTAAACACATTCATAAGTATGAGCTATTAAATTACTATAATAAATAAAATATTGTTTTTATATTTTTCATTAAAAAAAATTGAAAAATGAAAAATGCTTTATATATAACCAATTATTGAAGTTCATAATAAATTAACTAATTAACTAATGCATATATAGTTTCTTATACGGCATTACAATACTCCATTCATGGATCATAAGCTCATATCTAATTTTTTTATTAGTAAACGTTGTAATAGGTTATGAACTTATAGGCACCTATATGTTTACTTATTTTTAACTGTATTGCAAAAAATGAGAAATTCGGAAGTAGTATTTGTTAAAATGAGTGCGTGGTAAGTACAGAGGGACAACAATATTTTATGTTACACTGACATCTCCTCAAGACCTCAACACAACATATAAATCTCCCGATTAATTTGAATACTTCGTAGATATCAACAATAACCATTGTTTTTGCATTAACAGTTACAGGACTCGATGTACATTTAATAACCGTGATCATTTGCGTCATTTGTATATTTTATACCACCATCGTAAGTTTAATACCTACTTATTACCAACTATGTTACCATTAAACATTAATGTGACCGTTTGATTTTAATCTTATTTGGTTTTAACCTTTATATGATTGCCATTATTAGGGTGGACTGAAGGCAGTAGTGTGGACAGATGCGATTCAAAGCATTTTCACAGCCGTTTCAATCATGATCGTGATCGTATTGGGAGTTATACAAGTCGGAGGGTTCGGAAACATGATTAGAGCCAACCAAGAAGGAGGCCGGATAGAATTTTTTAAGTATTTATACTTAACCGTTTTTAATATTTTATATCAAGACTCATCAAAAGACCCACTCTTGTATTTTTGACGAAAGAAATATTTTACGTGATTATTCGATAACAACAACTGAACATTTTCTATAATAATAAAAGCTGCACGTATTCTTTGGTTTCACGGTTTTTATTGTTTATTTTTTTTTTGTCGCCCATCGCATATTATTATTGTCACCTCGATGAGATTTACATAATATTTTTTAGGACTGATTTTAAATTGTATTTCACTTAGGATGGACCCAAATCCGTTTTTGAGAAATACTTTTTGGACCGTCAGCATAGGCACAACGTTTCAATGGCTCGCATCACTGGGCATTCATCCGGGAGCCGTTCAACGTTTTATAGCATTGCCCACGTATGCAAAAGCTCAAAAAGCTGCCATTTTCTTTGTTCTGGGTATGGCCGTCGTTAAACTCTTGACCGGCTCTATAGGAATGTTGATCTACGCCAAGTACAAAGACTGCGATCCCCTGATGGCTAATGTCAGTTATTTCTTTACGGCGCATCGACATAATATTATATATTACAGTTATGACTAGGGCTGGGATTTTAATGCCCTAAAAAATGCTTTTATGACTTAAAAACTTTAAATAATGCTCACAACTAAAACTTTTATTTTTAATAATTTTAGTATAAATTATCAAAGGACATTAACTAGAGTAATAAAACGGTGATAACCACGACAAAACTCGTACTGAACGTCGAACAATATCATCTGAAGTCGATTTTACCGATTTAAGATTATTTAACAGGAAATAATTAAAACAGGGTACCTAGCTAGTCGTTACTCAGTCTTGTCCGATAATATAATACGAATTACGAGTACATAACTGCTTATAATCTTTTATGTTTGTATAAAAACCATGTTGGTGTAAAAATCTTAAAATAAAATTTCAAATTCATACTTTGTTTCCAAAAACTCAAAAAATGCTCCAAAATCTCTAAAATGGCCTAAAAAATGAAGAAAATGACCTAAAAACTAAAATTTCCAAAAAATGCAAAATAAAATTTATTATTTTCATTCAAAAGTACATAAAACAAATTTGTGACAAGACGAGCATTGAACAGTAAGCTTTGGAAAACAATGCAAAGTGCATCGAAATCCCAGCCCTAGTTAAAACTTATAAAGATGCGTGCCTCTTATATTGTTATTGTGCGTTTGATTAATTGTTACATCGAATTAATGATTTCAGTACATAGACAACGACAGGAAATTGGTGCCGTATTATGTGATGGACGTGGCCTCGAAATTTCCAGGGCTCACCGGTCTATTCGTTTCCGGTATTGTTAGCGCTGCCTTGAGGTATATAACATAAAAGTACTATATACATTACTATAAACCTACTCAATACATCTATGCAGATGTTTAACTTCCCAAATGACGTCCCTGCTCCCATTGACCGTGTTTCTTTTAGCCTATATTGTGTTAAAAAAATTATTTTACATTAATACCCCATAGTCCCTCCCCCGTACAAAACGGACGATACTAACCGTTATGACGCGTAAATTCTATAGTACAATGTCAGCGCAGATTAACACTGTGTCCGGTACGATTTACGAAGATTTCATAGTGAAAATGATGGGGATAACAGTGACCGATTTGACGGCCAGCGTCATCATGAAGTGCATCGCAGTGATCAGCGGTTTCGTATGCGTGATCTTGGTGTTTGTGGTCGAAAAAATGAACGGAATCCTTCAAGTATATTATACGTCTTAAACTGGATCGCCGTTGACAATTGCATTGTAAAAATAGAGCATGACACTTTGTGTATTTTACAGATGTCGATCAGTCTGGGCAGTGTGACGAGTGGAGCGTTATTGTCAGTGTTCACGTTAGGGGTTTGTTTTCCGTGGGCAAACTCCAGAGTAAGTCTGCTTAAAACGTTTAATCCGAGTAGCTGATTCCGAATTATTTAAAACTACAAAACGTAGATATTTAATACCCAGTAAGGTATTTTACGAGGGGGTCGATTAAATGTAAATTTTCTTTCACGTGCATAGAATGCGGCCACTTCCACAGTTATAGCAAAATACAATAATATTATTTACGCACATAATGTGTTACATTCGTGTACATAGGGAGCAATGTGTGGGATGTTAACTAGCTTAGCTGTCATGGCTTGGATAGTTGCTGGAGCTCAGGTCGCCATATACAACAAAGAATTGAAGTTCGTCGAAAAGGACGTTTTTATATCCGGATGTCCCGCCAACACAACGTTCAGAAATCATACAGACTTTTCGGGGTAAATATTATTAAAACAGACAGTCAGACATACGATTGACGACCTTGCAGTGCTATAATAATAAAATAAGACACATCTATATACCTACGACAGATGTTTCGTCCGATCGTTTGGCACTAGTCGTTTGAGCGTCGTCCGAGTGCGTCTCGTTTTCAAAATCGTACATTTTGAATTGCCCAAATGCGTCCGCTGCAGTGTTATCGCTGATATATTTAATGAAGTCCAACTGCGATATAATATTATATCTTTGATTATTGTAATTTTATTCATCTTATCCAGACATAGGTATATTTATTTTTAAAAATATTAAAATTGATTTTAGTATTATTAATCGTCAAGAGTGACCTACGCTAAGATCGTTATTTATGTGATGCTATATTTGTAAATACTTAAGAGTTTTCAAAGTCAATAAATAGTTTAACGTCGGGTCTTATTATAGTGATTGTGTGTTGATTGGTTAACGATACATAAGTTCAATTCACTCTTCTTAGCAAATACCCTAACAGTTTAGATTGGAAAATCAGAAAAAATTACATTCATGGAGGATAATATGATAAAATTCGCAACGCAGAGAGTTGATTTCATTTAAAAAATGATTAAAAACAAACGTTTTATATAACTATCGATAATTGTTGAAAATAAGTGTTTACAATTTTAAAAATAAAAATCACAAAAACAAATTTTTAGGATGTATTCCAGTTCACGATGCACCCTGAGGAATGCAATTCGTTTTAACTGGGACGCATATGGGCTATGGAATATAAAAATAATTTTTGCTTGAGACACATACCCATACAGGTCATACCTTTTTTATGGACGCACTCGGAACATTAACCTGGTATAATTTTAGGATGCACTTGAAAGATCCCCATATATAGTACCCATTACAGTGGCGTCATTTCAGTTTTTGAGAGAGGGGAAACATTTTTGACCGGCCTATAAAAAACCACTCGCCAACAATTATACATTGCATTACAATTTAATTTTGACCTCAATAATTATGTAGAAATAACCTTCTTACATAAATATTGTATACTTGCTAGTTATAGGTCATAGACAGGCATAAATAACCCATTTTTTTCGAGAGATAAAAATGACTAAATAATTAGGATACATAGAGGGATACCTAAATATAATATTATTACCTATTAGCTACTATAATAATATGAAGACACAACAACTAGCCCGCATACCCGGCCCGACAGCGGCCTGATAATAACAAGTGGGGTAAATGCCCACCCTGTCACTCCTCTCAAATGACGCCGCACTGACCCCTTACCTATCTTATATTTTTATGGTATCGTATTTGATGACAGGTTAAGCCGGTTGAATGAAGACGTGTATGCGAGTCCAAACGTGTGGACAATCTATACGGTTTCATACATGCACTACAGTACCATCGGCACTTTAGTTGGGATCGCCGTCGGACTTGCCGTCAGCCTTCTGTTCCCCACGGACGAGAACGTTGACCCAAGACTGCTAACGCCCTGTATACGGAACTTTGTGTATCCAAAGTACATGACCAAGACGGTGACGAACGGTAAAAACATCGCCCACAACAAGACAGATACGTACGAACCGGTGTCTCAGGAAACCAAACTATGACTTGTGTCAACGACCGTGTAGTTCCCAACCGACTCGAATATAGTGTTTTATCTTCAATAATATACGGAAAGTAATAACAATAAGACTCGTTTTTTTACTCCTTGGAAATGTATACCTACGTAATTTTACTATCGATTGCGTTTTTACACAATCAAAATATAGTGTAGGTATGTTAAAAAATTAGCCACAGAGGTTGGATCGTCCAGAGGCTGTTCTGAGAGTTCTGGAAGTAACTTCTATGTATATATGGAAAATGCCAACCTTCAACTTTTTATTTTTCAACTAATAAGTAGGTGATATATATATATATACTTGCATCGCGGAAATACTATGGATAATAAGGGGAATTTAGGACAGACAAACATATTACATAATATAATTTATGTATATATATGTACTGCATTACAGATATGAGATTTTAAGTTTCTAAGTTTCAATAAAATATTTATTAAAAGTTAAGACCTATGTATACCATCAAATTGAATTTTCTATAGGTATATCCAATGCTTGTTAAACATTTTTAACCTTTATATTATATATATACATTTTTTTTATCATAATACAAACACTATTTGATGAATAATTATAATTTTATTGAATTTATCGGACGATAAATTCCAAGGTATAATATTGTGAAATTGATCACGTAGATGCGTATATTTTTGAATTTGTAATTTCAATACAGATTCAACTAATATAGTTTATACTATACACTTTGCTTTTTACAACAGGTGGGTTCAATGTGAGACAAACTCAAGTACCTACCTACTATACATACCTATCGTTATAATCCCGATTTGTCTCAAGTCTTTAAGTTATATAGACTTGACGATTTCCCGTGTAGTTCACAAAAGTATAGCCTTGTGATTGTGATCGTAATTTTTTTTAATTATTTCAATCAATTGTTCAGTCTTATAATTTATTGCACAATAATGTGCTTAACAACGCATTAACAGGTATTTGTTTACACAATGATAATTGTTTTAAATCAATGTTTTACTTAATATTACCTACTTAAAATGTTATCAACTTCCTCAACTGTTATATATATATTATATAGTTACGTAAAAAACTAATTATTAAAAAGACAGCATTGTCTTCTAAAAATATAGTATGTGGTTACACGATTATCAGTTACAGACACACAGTAAAAAGACTTACGATTATATCAACAGGTATAATCCTTTTGGAAATAATGCGCTGTACGAACAATAATTAAACTAAAAATACTCAACATAATATTATTGTTGAATTTCTATACATTTGTGCTGGGATTATCTCGCATTAGTATTTAAAACAAAACCAAACGATATCTACAGCCTACGCTTATTAAAATTCAATGATTTTTCGTATTGTTAAGTATCTTGTCACGCAGACCGTTCTATAAACTATTCATTCACAAATATTTTAAACTGATATTTAATATTAATATGCACATTATTACTTTAATATAATTTACGTAATATGTATTCGTATAGCGTGTGGATGAGGAAACTTGTACTACATTATCAAGTTTTTTGACCGGGTGAAAATTGGATTTCAAAATATTTTGAAAATTATAACATGTATAGATTATGAAATACTAATATAAACATTTGGTCAAAATGTCAATGAATTTATTGAAGTTGAAAATCTAAATACTTTTAATACTTAAAAAGGGGATGACAAATAC